TAGTATATATAAAAAATACTATCAACTAAAGCAATATGCATATCAGTATATCTATATGCTTTTGAAAAATATATCATATTACTGATATTTCTTTAAATAATAATGATATTACAACAAATAGTATATTGTAAGGCTTTGATATTTCGATAAGTAGTTAATATTAGCAAATTAATATCAATATCAGCATTACTGATATTGCCAGAAATTCCTTCAATTGAAATTCAAAAGATATCTGATTTTTGTCAAACTCCGGGTTAATATCAGATACCTTCTAGTTAAAACTTGGCAATTAATATTAGTACATCTTCAACTCACATTAGTACTCATATCAGTGCATATCGGCATTCTGATATTTCTCTGGTATGACTTCTTTCAACCTGTAATAATATCAAGAAACTAATATTGTAATTTAAAAAAAATATATTTTTCATAAAAATTATGAAATATATTTCTGGAAAAAAATGTAACCAGCCCTCAGAGATATAAAATAAGGTCTAAAGTACTAGCCCTTATTTTAAATATATATATATAAATAAGTTATATAATAAATAGATATTAATCAGATAAATAGATGTGTATATTATACATTGTTAACCTGTTGCATTTCTTCTTGAACTGCCTATAATGTTGAGCAAGATTTGAAGTACAGAGATCATTGGGTCTATACATATGGGGGTGAGTCAATAGAAATCAAAAAATTTTTTATAATAAAGATTTTTTTATAATTTTGAACAAGAATAATTTTACAAAAAACTTAATCAAATTTAATAAATATTTTTTTAAATAATTTTTACTAACTTGTATAATTAATTTAAAAAAAAATTATCAAATTTAATAAAGGTTTTGTTAAGTTATCCTTGTTTAAAATTTAAAAAAAAAAAAGCATTAAAAAAAATTGTTCGGTTTCTATTGACTCAACCCAATATATTCAAGCCATTTCTGTGATATGATATTTACAGCTCGAATCTTTTTCCCAACCTCTCTTGCACATTGAATTTTTTTGATAGCATTCTGTTCCCACAACCCATATCTGTGTAATGCATACTCATTATCATAAATATATCCTGAAATAGATTTTTGTTCGATTTTCAGTAAATATTCATCATAACTTACACCACAAAAGGTATTTCCTGTACAATGAAAAGCCCAGTGTCTTCCATTCCTATGTGATTATAATTTCCAAAATTTGCATTTTTTATCTTGACAATTTATCATGATGATATGACAATATGATGTACGGCACTTCTATTGAAGTATCGAATTTAAACTTAAGTTGCTATTAAATTTATCCAGTATCGAATTTAGAATCAACTTAAGTTGCTTTTAACAGTTCGTATCAATTTTGACTATATTTGTGAATTCGTTTCAACCTAACGCTAAATCCACAATAATTCCATTCGGCGTATGACATATAAACTTATATGGTACTAACAACGAATTGTTAAAGAAAAAAAAATCTTAACAATTTAACAATAAAATTTATTTAAAATATTTAGATAAAAAACCTTAGGTTTATTTTACATGATAATATTAATACATAGATAGGCACAACTAAAAGAAAACATGATTTCAGACTTTGAATTTCAAGACAGTGCTGATTTAATTATAAGTTCAAAAGCTGGAGTCTAGTTTTCTTTTAGTAGTATTTGAATACGACAAAAAGTTATCGTTTTGTTTATTGCTTTTTTACATTTTTTTTTTATAGAAGTTACATGCTGTGCTTAATAGCCACGTGTAAAATATTTTGATTCACTAACATGACTCAGTCTTTTCCAAAGTCTTAGAGGATTTGATCAGCTTTCTTCAGGGGTTACACTTTTATCAGGGTTTTGCCGTTTTCGTCTTTCACCGGGTTTAGTGTCGTCTTTCGCAATTGCCATAACCCATCATGATTTAATGCTACAACTGGGCTTTCTGCAACAGCAACAAGATTTTTTTTTAAATGTTGAATAATTCATCCTTCGTACTAAATCATTGCTATATTATATGTAAAGCTTCATTTAGTAAATAAATTACATAAAGCTTATTCTACTGTATCACTATTTGACTCAATTTTACTTTGAAGAGTAACAAATTTATGTTTTTAATATTTGTTGTCCGAAGCGTAACGGAGGGCATACATTCTATGCACGTTTTGATCAGGGACAGTGAATACTTCTATTAACGTATAAAATGGAGATTTTTTCATGTTTTTTGCCGGTTAATGGAATAATAATAAATTTTTCGAGAAAAAGATGTGTTGATTGGTTAATTGTTATTTGTTAGATACCGGAATAATAAACGTTGTCATGACAAAAATCTGTGATTTTGATTATATATTTCCGATTGAATAAAGCTATATATAATACTCCAGATCTTATTTTTTCACGTTTTTCTAGTTTAAAAGATTAATAAGCCAAAAAAGGTAAAATTTATATTATCAAGATTATAAATAAGAAAATCTCTGAAGATAGTTAACGATACTTAAAGAGTAAATGGTAAACAATAAATGCTTGTCTTGATATATTTACAATTTGTAAGTAAACGTCGCCCACCATTTCTGTGTCAAAGTCATCTCAATCATCAAAACAAACATAGTAACCGATTAACATTTCAGGAATGATCATGTAAATGTTTTTTATTATTGATCATTGAGAGGTTGAGATTCGTGTAATCTTGTATTATACAAACAACCCACATTAGACATCTGGTTGGTTGTGTGCAATGTTACAGGGAAAACACAAGCTCGATACAATGGTCAATAAAAACTTCTTAAAAGAACTTCTATTATCTTGAAATTAGAATTTCTTTGCCGCAAAATTTTGTAATTCTAACAATGACTAAAAATCCTTATGACTCATTCGCAAGTCCTAAAGAAAATGTCCATGCTAAATGGTATGTTGATGGAAAAGAATATTTTTATGCAGTGTCGGAAGCTTTAATGGCCGCAGAGAAAGAAATCTTTATTGAAGATTGGTGGCTTTCTCCAGAACTAGTATGTACGTTTTAATTAGGAATTAGACGTTGAGGAATTATTGTTAGAATATATAATGATAATTTAGTTTTTCTCAACTGGTCAAATCACATGTTTTTATTAAAATTAAGTTACGAGTTTTTTTAAAAAATTATAAATTTTATGTATAACATTTACTTGAAAATAACAGTATCTTAGAAGACCCGCTGCACATAACAAAGAATACCGTCTTGACTATTTATTAAAGAAAAAGGCAAATGAAGGTGTCAAGATTTATGTTGTTTTGCACGATGAGGTCACGGCCCTTATGTATTTGAACTCTAGACATGCTGAACTTGCGCTGAACCATAAAAATATAAAGGGTAAAAAAAAAAGCAAACCAAAAAAAAAGATGATTCAATTTATTTCTTTCATAATGATAAACGAATAAATATCCTCATACATGAATCTCTAATGGATTAGTGTTTAGACATGCTGAAAATGGTTTTTTTGCAAATGTCGAATGGGGATTTCATGCTCTTTGGAATAGTATTTTTCCGAATGCTGAATCTATTAGACATCCAGATAAAGATCCTGTCGCATATTGGACTGTAAATAGATTAATATTCTATATATGTGGATATTTGGTTGTTGTTTTATTTAAAAAAAAAGTGTTCTCACGTAGTTTATTGTTCCTGCGATATTGTATGTTTATTAGCATCACGAGGTATCTAATCCGAAAATTACAAGGACTTTTACTTTAAATGTCTAATTTAATTTCGATTAAAAAGAAAATAGTAGTCATCGATAGAAGTACGGCCTTCATCGGTGGATTAGATCTGTGTTTTGGTCGGTATGATACACATGCTCACAAATTAGCTGATTTTCCGAAATTCGCAAATTTTTCTGAAGTTTGGCCTGGTCAAGATTATAATAATGTCAGGATTAAAGACTTTGTCGAAGGTATCTTTTAAACTAAATTATTATCAAATTTGGATTTCTTTGTCTTACATAAAATCGAATTTGCTTTTCTAGTTCAAAAATGGGCCATCACTTTGATTCCTAAAGATGTCTCGGCTCGCATGCCGTGGCATGACATTTCTATTGGATTCGTAAGTTTAAATCTTTCTTCAAAGACATAATAATAATGCACACTCTTTTTCATACATTAACGTTTCATTTACTGACTTGTATCAAAGATTGGAGCCCCAGCGGTGGATGTCGCAAACCATTTTATAGAACGTTGGAATTATATTAAATCCAGAACCGTATTAAATTACGTTATAAGATGTTCACACCCAATTTTAAAAAAAACAGAAATTAAAGAATTTCAAGAAGATATTAGATCATACAATTACTTTAATGAAACTGTTCAAGCTGATACTACGAAAGGCACATGTTCTGTGCAAATGTTAAGAAGTGCTTGTAGGTGGAGTCATGGAATTGATGTCGAAGTAAAGTATTTTCCGATAAATAAGCGTTGACTTTCATTCAAGAAAGTCGTTTGTCTAATATATCTATATGCGTGATTTTTAGGATTCAATTCACAAGGCATATTTGCAAACTATCGCGGAGGCGGAACACTTTATTTACATTGAAAACCAATTTTTCAGTAATTATCTGTTTTTAGATGGGCATATACAATAAATACACAGATGATGAATCATTAATATATTTACCTTAAAATCCAATAGTTTCGGCAAATGATAATAATTCTATATTTCATAATATGATTGGAAAAGTATATTACATTTGCTTTTACTTTATCATTAAGTCGGAAAGGACGTATCAAATAATTAAAAATTATTATTATTATTATTATTATTATTATTATTATTATTATTATTATTATTTTAACAGGCACTTATAGAACGAATCATAAGAGCTTATAAAAACAATGAGAAATTTCGGGTTATTGTTGTAATGCCATTGGTTCCCGGTTTTGAAGGTCAATTCGATGCAGAGTCTGCTGTAGCTCTACGGTAAATAACTTGCTCAAGACGTTTCGTTTTCACAAAAAGAAAGGAATCATGTCCAATTAACTCAATCTTTTTTTTCAAGAATAACGATGGAATTCGAATACCGCACAATATGCCGTGGTGATAGATCAATTTTTGGGAGGCTCAAAAAGGCTGGCATTCAAAATCCGGAAGAATACATATCTTTTTATGCTTTACGTGCCTATGATAAAATTGATTCTGAAGCGGTTAAAAAAGCAAAGGATAAAATTATAGATAGATTGAGCCGTGATTCGAAATTAAGCAGCCAACTTTACCCGATTATAAGTAATATTAAAAACCCAATTGTCACAGAACAAATCTATATTCATTCTAAACTTATGATTGTAGATGATCAGATTGTTATCTGCGGATCTGGTAATTGTTTGTGATTTATCATCTATATTAAAGAATATTATTAACATATTTTTTTATTTATAGCTAACGTAAATGATAGATCGCAATTAGGAATGCATGACTCAGAAATTGCAGCGATCATTAGGGATAATGATAAAGTTGACTCGAAATTAGCAGGAAAACCTGTAAACATTAATTTTATTATTTTCAAAATCTATTTAAAATCATATATTCATTTTTGTTCATTTCATTAAAACAGATCAAAGCTAGTAGATTTGCAGTATCGCTAAGAAGATATTTATTTAAAGAACATCTAGGATTGCTTCATGTTTCTGAAAATCATTTGTCTGAGGTTACTTCCTACAGCTATCCCCCACCATTACACATTAAAAATGGATCTCAACGTCTTCAAACAGATGAAGAAAAAAAATTAGAAGACCCTGCTAGTGATGAATTTTTTGTTTTCTGGAAAGGCATAGCTGAAAAAAATACAAAGATTTTTAAAGATGTTTTTCACTGTTTACCTGATGACGATGGTAATTATTCTATTTATAGACCTGTAGTATATTAAATTAATCCTAAATTAATTTCTTCTTTCAAACAGTTAAAACATGGGATGATTATCAAAATTTTGTTCCCGATCCAAAAAAAATTCCGTTAGGACATGTATATGATCCAGATAAAATTTCAGAATTGGAAAACATTAAAGGTCACTTAGTTCACTACCCTTATAGATTTCTAGAAGAAGAAGAAGTTTCAACTTTGAAAAAGATTGAAACTCTTAATGATTTAAGAGATGACTTCAAAGAACTTGAATTTGCTGTTGAAAGCGAACTGATTGGAAATTTGGCTACGTCATCTGAACATGCTGCTGCGTTTGCCGGATAATTGCTAATTATTTGACCAATATTCAGCAATAACTAAAGGCAGGAATTCTAATGTGGCAAAAAAAAAATTCTTTAAAACAATTTTGTTTTTTGAGATTTATTTAATCTAAATATTAAAATTAGATATTCAAATTCATGAATATTTTTTAATATTATTTATTTAAATAAAGTGAAATATGAAAATAATATTTAACATGATCTTTACTACTGAATACTTTCATTAATCAGGTTTTGTGTTATAAATAACGTTATTCGAATGCTATTTTTTACTTGCTTTCAAATTTTGATGTAATTTGACTAACTTTTCATTAATCAGCTTTTGCGTTATACGTTTTTGCGCAAAAAACCTATCTATAACTTAAAAGCTGATTAATGAAAGTTAACAAAAATTTGAAAGCAAATAAAAAATCCATTTTGAAGAACTTTATTTAGTGGGTAAAGATTGATTTACTTAGTAAATAATCCTGCTTCCTTGTAATATGTTCAATTCGCTGCTTTATCCGTATTCGTCATAATATCCACATTGGCCTTATATTTCACCTGAGCATAAACGCGAAATTTGTCATTAATCGTATACAATATCTGTCTCATAGAGACTTTTATATGATTGGCTGTTTAAATAAATTTAATTTTATATTATGTATTTATATAGTTTAAAGTACTTTTCAAAAAAAAAATCAAACCACAAAGAATAAGCATATAGAAAGTTTTATTAGGATCGTAGGACTCCATTATTAAAAATAATCAAACTCCTTTTTTGGTTTTAGAGAAGTTAGATAATAACAACTTCTGAAAAATAGATAGAATTGAGTCATTATCATGATAACTTCTCTAAAATATGAGGGATTTTGAATAGTGGAGTCCAATGATCCTAATCAAACTTTCTATATACTTTTTTTTTTTATTCTTGTAGTTGATTTTATTAAAAGTACTTTAAACTGTATAAAAAATGGAAAATTAAATTAATTTAAACAACCAATCACATGAAAGCCTTTCTATTATTATCTGTCACCAAAGTAGCTGTACCGAACTTAAAAGAGGTTTGATTATGTAATACATACGTGTCAAAATGTCAATTGCAAAGCGGCCGGAAAAAACGGCAATTCATTGGGTGTTACTCAAATAACATTAATGTAATTCACTTGCATTTAGAAGATAATAAGTCAAAGGATTATTTTAACAAAATTATTAAATAAATAGTCTGTGTAATGCTAATAGGGTTGAAGTTGAAAACTTGAAAAGTAAAAGTTCCAATTCAATTCTTGACATATTAGAGCAATTTCTAATAAAAAGAGCAAATTTAGACAATTTATTAAATAATTAATTCGATCATATGGTTCAGATAATTCTTGCAAGTTGTTATCGTTAAGGTAAATGAGTTGAAAAGATAAACATAAAGCATTCAGTTATTATCAACAGTGCGCTGACATGAACCATTCCGATGGAACATTTTTTCATTGGATTCTGTTATGAGGAAGGAATTGAACAAAAGGCATTAATTTATTATCAAAATTCATCGGAGATGGGACACATATAATTGAATATTGTTATGTGAAAGGAATTGGTGTCAAAAGGATAAACATAGGGCATTCACTTATTAGCCAAATCAGCAGAGACGGGGACACTGGTTAGCTTGATAAAGTCTTTAGCAAACATACTTCGGTTATCAGTTGACTTTTACACTCTTCAAATATTGGTAATTTCGTATTGTCCAATGAACAACAACCATATTTTGTCTTCCAAACCAAGTTCCAGGAAGTGATCTTTTGTACAGTGAATGTTAACATTTCTTTAAGGCTATAAAGGTGATTTTTTTATTAATAAAACGTCACATTCTTAAAAGGTACTTTCAAGTGTATAAATAAGTTACCCGGGCAATTGATTGACTTTAACCAATCAGATGGAAGTCGTCTTACCAATCAGATTAAAGACCACTATGCTAGGTAGAAACTGGTTGGTTAATAAAAAATTGATGCAAAAGTCATCTATAGCTTTAAATAGTGTTAATAGTCACTGCAAAAAATTAAAAAAGGATTATAGAAAAAAATACGCCGCAACCTAATGAACATACTGTTAGCTAATTAAAAGATACCAAACCGAAAAATATTTTGCTAAAGGCTGCATCCTCCAAATAATGAAGTTCATTATTATACTATCTTGGTTAGTACAGTACTGGTCAACAAAAAGTATAAAATATAAAAAGTGTTATAACTCAAAAACCAAATATTTTAGCGAAAATTTCTCTTAAAAATTTGTTGCTTTTGTCCAAGCTAAGAATTCTGTTAGAATAGAAAAGTTATAATACTTTAAAGTTTATATATCTAAAAACTGGCATTTAATATATATTAAAAAAAAATTATACTAGGAAATCAGGATCTGATAAACGTCAGAAGCAAAAAAGCTATCACGCCTAATTGTTTAATAGATTTTATTTTATCTCAATTATACAATACATGTATATTTTTATTCTCTTGAATTCATTAAGTTTTTTTTTTTTTATTAAGATCTACAGCCTTTCTGAAGATCATCACGGGATCCATCATCTATCGAATTTCATTGGTGGTTTCCGTCGGACATTGCATAGATGTGCATTCAGTTTTACTCGTCTGTAAAGTCCTCACTTCGCTTCGGACAATGATTTGTTGGCTAATAAGATTTGATTATGTAATCTTCAAATTTGTCGCTTTTGAAAAAAATGGATATTTTTTGCCGTCCGGTATTGTATAAAATTGGCATACGTTGTGTCACTGGATCCAATGCATTTTGCAGATCTCAAGGCCATTAAATAAAAACAACAAAACAATTATATAATACTCTTAGAAAGAAATTCGTCTGATTGGCTAATGTAAGTTAATTGCTCGGGTAACTTATTTATACATTTTAAAGTACTTTTAAGAACGCAAAGCTTTATTAAGCAAAAATCGGTACAAACACCGTCAACAAAGTGTTTAACGTTCACAGTGTAAAAAGAATAAAAAATAAAGAGCGAATTCCTGAAGAACTTTGCATAGAAGACAAAATACCTCTACCGTTTATTGGACCATATCAAATTATACTGTGGAATAGCTGGGATCTGAACCTAATGTGGACTAACCTGTCGGGATTATGATTTGTTGGATTTGTTTGTCGAAATTTTGACCCAGTTTCGAATAACTGGAAGCATTTTGGTTCAAGACTGCCTTATTACGTTAGATTTTTAAATAAACTTTTGTTAATAACTATTTGAATAGGAATAAGCGTATAACGGAAGAAGATCTGAATTTAATACAGGATATGTTCGATTCTTATTGTATGTTGTATTATTAATAATAAGGTATAGTTATTGGCCGCGAAGCGGGCATTAATTAATTTATTCCACGGTTCTTTACACTTCCATACTATTTTTTTTTAGTTTATTGATAATGAGGTTCCATTTTTTCTTTTTTTTTTCACCCGGCAACTTTTTTAAGATATAAGCATTAAAAAAATAGTATGAAAGTATAAATAAAAACCCTGGAATAAATACCATTTTCAACCACTTCATGTGTATCTGCTTATCTTTTGCAGATGACTTATTCTTTCTTATATTTGTTAATTTATAATATCTTTTTTGTTTCTTGCAGTGGTATTAAGTATTAAAATGATAATTTTTTAAAAAGGTATTGCTATTTTCATCATTGTTTTTTTGTTATTTCCACTATAGGTATAAAAATATCTATTTTTAGTATTAATATTATATTAAATTGATTTTTTAAAAATTAAATAAGTTTTTAAGTTAAAGTTTGTTAGGCTTCTAAGTAAAGTTATAGCGAAGATTTTCTGGTTTTAATATGTTTAGATTATCAAAATTAGACTTGTAAATTCCAAGATATTTGAAATTAAAAATGCAAATACATTAGAGAGTCTGTTTTAACTCTACTTTATAGCATTATTTTTAACTCTATTTCTAAATTTTTTTACAATTTAGCACTAGATTTATTTAGCAATCAAACCTGTGAACCCATTTACAAAATTCAAAACCATGCAGCCTTTAATAATATATATTATTAGAATAAAGTTAGATACAAAGCTTCTTTATCTTGTAATATGTAATTTTTTAAAGCCTAACACAGGTTTATAATTGTGACCTACCAAATTTTTTTTATTTTACTTCTCTTTTCTCCTTTTTAGTATTAGTTTAGTGTTAATATTTTTTCTTTTTTTTGCTTCTCTATGAGAAGATGTTATCAGATTAATGATATCTTATTGTAGAGTAATAGTCTGATAAACTTTTTGAAATAGGTAAATTTCTTCAAAACTTATTATAATGTATTTCTTGTATATTTATCTGCTCAGTGTAGCTGATTGCTTGTAAGTACTCTTATAAGTAACTGCAAGATATCAACCTAAATATTATAATCAATTAGTGCTTTTATTTATTAGCAAATGGATATAATAAAGAATATTGGCAAAATAGCCAAAGTGAAAAAAATAAATAAATATTTTGTTAGAATTTTAGTAACTATAACTGGTAGTAATCATCACTGGTGTATAATTGACTAATAGATTTGCAGGATCAGATGTAACATGCAAATCAATTTGTATAATAACAATAAAGATTTTTTTAAAAAAATGCTAATATTTCAAGAAATTGCACCTTCAACATTCTAACAAAAAAAATTTTTTGTTAAATTTTGCATATATTTAACATCTTGCTAAAATATTAGGCCTCATCCTAACCTTAAAGTAAATGAAATAAAATCTTTTTTTGGTTTAAAGTTGTGTCATTTATTACTTGATTTTTTTTATCAGAAGCTTACCCCCTTCCCCTTCTTATTATATATTTTGATCAGGTCTTTATATATAAATTTAAAATTTTTACCCCCCTCCCTCCTAAAAAATCATCTGATTTTTGTCATATCCTTTATCATTATTGGCTAATTATATACTAGTGATAATTATCACCAGTTATTCTAACTAAAATTCTTTTGTTATACAGTCAAACCTCTCTATAGTTACCTCCTCTACAGTCATAAAATTGAT